CTTTTTGTGGCCAAAGACCTTCCTCCCTGTCTGACCCTCCTCACTGACACCGGGAATAAAGGAACAGACAAAAGTGGGATCATAGGATCATAGAACAGCTCAGGTTGGAAGGGACTTCAAGATCATCCAGTTCCAATCCCTGCCAGCCACCAGGACAGGGATGAGAAAGGAAAGGCCCCAGTGAGCAACCGCAGGGCACTCCAGGGGAGATGGACACGTACTTCTGTGCTGGGGAGAACGGAGATGCCTAAAAGGAAGACAAGGGAACTTGGAAGTGAGCAGCAGATGGGAATGAAACTGCTTCTTCCTGACATCCCCCAGGCACAATGCTCAGCAGGATGGGTTCCCCAAAGTGGGCAGGATTGGCTCCCTGAAGTGGCGGAAGAAAGTTGGGTAAAGGGAGTGCATGAGAAGCAAAACAGTGCTGGAGAGTGAGCATGCAGCCAGGGGAGAGCGTGGGGAAGAGGTGAGGGAGATCCCAGCACACCCAGGGCACTGCTCAGCCATCTCACAGCAGCCAAGCCGGGAGGTCCAGCACTGAGCTGGCGCCTGGACATGCTGTCCAGGAAGGCAAACAGAAGGTTCCTGGAACCCTGGCGGGCAGCAGTGCTTCAGCCAGGAGGAAACTATCAAAGAGCAGAGAAAACCACGCAACGCAGACTGCTGTTGTTTGTAGGATGAAGGAGGACTACAGGCACACACTGCCCTGAAGCAGCTGGGAGATGGGGCTGGGGAGGTGGTGCAGGTGAGGAGTGCTGCTCCCACACCTCAATGTCCCCAGCAGATCAGCAGTGATGTGGGACCCTGTCTGCCCCAGACATCAGCCTGGTCCCTTCCGCCTGCCCCACAGAGTGCTGGGGAAGTCATGCTCAGAGGCCACGGCTCCAGAGCCCTGTTGTCGGAAAGCCAGGACTTCTCTTGATATTCCCACTGCAGAATTGCATTGAGATCTATCTTGTGTGCAGGCTGAGGGCTGGGAGAGCTGAGACCCCCCTCAAAGTGCAGTACACAGACACTAGCCAGCACCTAGTGCAGAGGATACTGCAAAGCACACGGGAAGGGCTTGGCTCACAGTAAGACCCAGACATCCACCAGGTTTTTCTTCATACCAAGGACTGTGCTATCTCTGCACCTTCCTCCAGCACAGCCATGGGCACTGGGTGCTGCTATACAAATCCAGCAGCAGGCACCTTCCGGGCATGGGTGCATTCATGGAGAAGGAGCACTGAAGATACTGCATGATGGAGAGCACCTTCTATGCTCCTGGCATCCAGGGACCTGAGGCATTCATCCTGCTGTACAGAGCCAGGCCACGGGGGATGAGAAAGAAATGAGAAGGCAAATGGCCTGGAGTCAGCGTGCACTGAGGATAATGGATATGCTGCCACTGAGAAATAAACTGATCAGGCTTAGATGCGCCAACCACCAGCAGAAGGAAGTGCCCAGAACCACACGCTGGTGCCACACTTCAAATTAGTCTTTTCAATAAATGACATCTGCTCCCTGTGCTCTCAGCAAGGCAGGGTCCGGCCCAAGGGCTCCAAACATGCACGTTGATCTTCTCTGACCATTTTTCTCTGTCTCTTTCCTAGAGGGCTGACTCGTTCCCACCGAAGCCACATAAGAAACAAGTGCCAGCTGCCTTCTCCCGTCCTCACAGACCCCGGGACCAGCTGCTCCCTCTGTGGCTCCCTGCTGGTGATGCTTCCTTCCGAATGGTTTCCTAAGGGCAACTTGAGCATTCAGGGAGATACAGGCAGAGATCACAATGACACTGACTTTAAGGTCCCTTCCAACCCGCATTATTCTGTGGATCTCAGACTTTGAGGGTGCACTTGTCCCCACCAGCGAGTCCCCCAGCCATCGGTGAGCTCTGGCCCTGCTGGCCATGTCCTGGGGGCACCCTGCTGCCACCCCCAGGTGTGGGGATGGGGCTGTGGGGTCGTGCCATCATGAGCGGAGCTCTGTGCTGAAGTCCGGTTCCACACAGCTAATTCAATAAGTCCCAGATACCATTACTTCATACGGCAGAGAGGCTCCACAGCTATTAGGGGAATTGGGAACAGGGGGGGGGGGGAGGAGGAGCTGAAATGGAGAAGGGAGAGAGACGGGAGGGTGGAGAGGGGGAAGCTAAGACAAGCAGCAGAACAAAACATCCCATAAATCATGAGGAGCTGCTGAAATACCAGAACAAATGACCCCATAGCTTGGCCATTGTTCCTGAGTGATGGCTCAAAGCTCTCTCAGCAGAGACAAAACACCGCTCCTTCGTCCCACTGCTGTGCTGCCTGGCCAGGAGCAGCACTGAGCTGGGAGTCAGGATCCACGATGGGTGTAAGTAACTCCAGCACGGCAACGTGCCTCATGGCACCAGTGGCACCCATATCTCCCTGCCTGCCAAGAGCATCCCTGAGCTCCCAGTGTCCCATGACCCTACAGAACCCAGCAATGCTTTCACTGGGTGCATCAGGGCCTGATGCTCCCTCTGGTTGCTCCTTAACCAGACCAAGAGGCACTGGGCTTGGGAGAAGTGGATCTCCTATTGGGCATGTAATGTAAGGTGTAGGATCGCTCAGGTATGGCCACGCAACCCAGAGGAGCACAGAGCCCTCCATGGTGCTGCTGCTCCCTGGCTCCCAAAAAGTCACTGCTAACTCCCACAGCAAAAACACAATCACCAAGGAAAGAGCCTTGCAAACCATCCACAGACATGGTCCACCAGACCCAAAGCAGCACAGCACCTGCAGGGCTCTGAACTGCGATTTGGAAGTGAGGCACCTCCCATGCATGGCTACTGTGCCCCCATACCAGCAGCAGTATGGGGAGAGTCTCCATCCCCCCAAAAGGGGGAATTTTATTGCATTAGGAGACGTTCAACCCCAGTGCTCCTGGCCAGCAGGGCTCCTGCCAGCATTGCTTGCGATGGGCAGCCAAGGAGAGGGGATAGAGGATGGGGACAGGAGGAATGCACCGTGCTTTTCCTCAGTTGTCATAGGAGTGCACTGCTCTGACCACAGACAAAGAGAAGCTGAAAATGTGGGGAGCCCACATGGAACCAGAGAGTGCTGAGCAGCCCTGAGCCCCTAATCCTGAAACAGGAGGAAAGCAGGGGAAAATGAGAGAGCAGAGGGCAAGTAGAAGAAGGAAAACTGGAATGAGAGGTGGGTAGGGAAAGGAGAGCACAGCCTGATGCCAGGAAGGCACAAATCAGTGGCAGAAGAGCAGCACAACCTGATGCCAGGAGCGCACACTGCTGCATGGCACAGGAGTGACACAGGGCACAGAGCATCCCAGGCCCTGCACAGAGCCAGGAGGAAAGGAGAGGTGCAGCCCTCCTATCTGCTCCAAGCTCATGTAAGGGGAGAGAGGATCACTCCTGAGGTGGCACACAGGGAGAGGAGGATCCCACTCACCTCAGCTCACCCCAAGGGAGAGAGGGATGCTCACATTTCCCAGAGGGGCTCTGCACACACCAGGATGTCTCTGTGGGGGCCATCAGGGTTCTGATTTGGAACTCAGACAGCAGAAGGTGTTGAGCTGCAAATGCTTTTGTCTCTCAGCCTTCGCCTCATTGAGGGTTCAGAGTTAGATGGGTATCATGGAGCAGCAGAACTCCCCCCAGGGCTGTGGCCATAAGCACTCCAGGCCCCCTGCCTGGCTCGTGCTGCACTGCCAGTGTGCTGCAGGGCCCCAACAGTGGGCACTTTGTGGTGCTGCCTTTAAAAAAATACCCTAAAAAAAAATATCCTAATAATGAAGTATTTATTTGGGTAAACAACCTATGAATGAAAGAAGTGTTTTCTCAAGACTTCACTTTTTCCCTGCCACCTCTCCCTCCACTCCCAGTAATAAGCAGAACTAACAGGGCTCTGCTCGGTCACTGCTGAGCTCGGGATCAGACCCTGCTCACTCAGCGCAGCACCACAACAGAGCAAGCTGAGCTGAAAGCCAGCCTGTCCTCCCCCAGAGCCGTGTGCAGGCTGCCCTACCGTCCCACAGAGCAGCACCTTTTCCTGCTGTCGTGGTGCCACAGCTGTGCAAACTGCTGCAGAGCAATGGGCTCCCATCTTGCAGCCCCTGGGGCTGACAGAGGCATTAGAGGGAGAAGAGAAATGCTGACTTCTCTCATGTATGCACGATGAGAAAAGAGGAGAACTACAAGCCGATGGGTTTTAAGGAGCGCTTTGCTTTTTTTCCTGTTTGCCGTGTTACAAATTCTCGTGTTTGGAAGATTGAGAGCAATTGAGGTACAGCTTTCTGATGACATTGGTTCAGCAAAAAAGAAGGTTGTGTAACGGAGAGGAAAATGATCTGATCCCACAGAGCTGACATTCTGTGCCTGGCCTCCTTGGTACCTGCACAGCTTCTGTGCCCAACAACCTCACGGATGGAGCAGCCTGGAGAAGGACCCACCGCCTCACACAGAAGTGTGAGAACATACAACGAATGCCAGACAGTTCTCCAAAGAAAGCAGGGAAAGCAAAAACCAAACTTGACATTCTTTAAATTTCTGAGCATTTCTTTTTCTCTTTCTTCTTCTTTTCACTTTTTTTTTTTTTTTTTTTTTTTTAAGCTTTACCCTCCTTTCTCCATCTAAGGAAGCAGAGAGCAATGCAATTTCCAGTTCTCTAAAATATCCTTAGCAGGTCACCTCCAGCACAGGGAGGGCCGGCTGTGATCTGCTTCCAAGGCTGGTGAATGAGAGCTCAGCAAGCTGGGGTGGAGCAGGGCTGAGCGTGGGGAAGGGGCAGCCCCACAGCCCCGGGGCTGGGACCCAACACAGCGGGCTCACAGCTGCCCAGCCCCGACGGATGCCCGTCTCGCTGCTCTCCTTTCACCCCACACAGCAGGAGCCCATCTGGGGCTGCCCGTCACTCCTGCAATGGGGTGATGGTTTGAAGGGTGTTCTCCCATGGGGCAACGCACGGACAGAGTGGGGACAGGGGGGCAGGAGGGGGCTGGGAGGCTGCTTGCCCCCAGCCCCTTCTTGCAGCTCTTACCATTCAATGCTCAGAGACCTGGGCCGGAAGGCAGACAGCTCGGCCGAGCCATACTCAGCTTTCCTTCTCTTCTCCTGCTTCTGCTTCACCGACAAGCGGTGGGCAAACCTAGAGAGGCTGCTTTCCGACCTGGGGAAGGGGAGAGGAAAGGAGTTAATGTCACTGAAGGTACCTTGTGCTGGGGGCTGCAAGGGGCACCAGAGCGGGCAGCACAGCAGCACCGCAGCACAGCAGCAGAGGCTGAGCGGCGCTTTGGCTCCAGCGTCAGCCCCACAGGGCTGCAGCAGTGGCACAAAGCTGAGCCCCTGCCCGGCACCGGTGCTGCCACGCTCTGCCAGGGCCGACGCTGCTGTTCTCTGGGGTCCTGAGCTGTCTCGCCGACCAAACGCCTCTTAAAACACAATAACATAAAGGGAAGGGACTTCTCAGAAATAAGAGCTCTCGCTCTTTCCTTACGATAATTAAATAAACCACGAGCAGCTAACAGTTTTTTTCCTGATACATTTTAAACACAGACATCTTCAATTCATTAACTCTGGTTATTGATTTATTTTTCAGCTTATGAATTGCTGTTGCTTGGGACGGGGTGGAGACAGCTTTCTGGAGCAGGCGCTCGTCTCCGCCATCACCGCCGGGAAAGAGCTGGTCAGCCCTTCCAGGGTCATTCCTCACATTCTTGGGAAGAAACACTACTTTGATGTAAAGGATGAGGTTTGCCTTTAAAGAAACCAAGCAGAAATGCAAACCCCAGCGTTCCCCCTCAGAGCGCTGCAGGGAAGCACGGGGTGAGGAGAGCCCATGGGAGCACTGGGAGCAGAGCTGCTGCAGATGCAGCCTCTCTGGGGCCGTGTCACAGCTGGGAGGAGCAATGCTCTGTGCCCATCACTGCTCTTGAGGGGTCTGGGGGCTGTGGGACCTGCCTGGAATGCATTCCCATTGGCCCCGCGCAGTCGGTACTTCGGCCTGCATCCTCTCCCAGACTCAGTGCAGCTGAGAGGTGGGGGGGGGCATAGGGAGAACAGGGTGAGGTGCCCACAGGGCTCTGTGCAGAGGCATGGAGCAGCCTGGGAGCAGGAGACCAGGGGCACTGCAGGAAGCAAGATGTGGGCATGCAGAGATGCTGCTGGCACTGGGGGCACGGTGCCCATGGGGGGGCAAAAGGGGCTGTGCTGGAGCTGGGTGACCACGCGTGCTGAGGCCACCAGACCCAACAGAGCTCCAACAGAGACTTCATTTCCTTTTCTATTTAGAAATCCAGGAGCACATTACAGTATCATCTGGCTATTTATACAGCACTGCTTTACATAAACGGTGCTGCAGAAGAGAGAATGAATCATACCTGCTCTGCCCCGGCTGCACGCACGCCGTGCCCAAACCCACACCATGCCCTCTGCCCTCTCCCCTCGCCCCCAGGCTCCATGCTGGGTGCACCCTCAGCCCCCTGAGCTCTGGTTCTGGGACGCTGCCGGGTCTGTGCCCAGCTCTGGGAGGATACTGGCACAGCAGGGATGCTGCTGTCACACACCTCCACTCCCCAGGTGCTTTCCAAAAACAGCTGCCCCTTGTCCCTTAATTCATATTACAATAATGACAGGGAAACCGAGGCACAGAGGCCACGCAGTGAGGACAGCTCACCGTTGGCTGTCAGCCCCATCCCCTACAGGCTGCACCAGCCAGCAAGGTGTGAGTGTCTCCCGCCAGCAGCACCGGTACCATCCTGGCCCCAGCTCCTGCCAAACCTGCCACCAGCCAGGGACGTGCAGGGAGAGCCATCAATTGAAACATCAACCGCAGCGATGGGGAGAGCCGTCTCCTGACAACCAGAGGAGGTTGTTCAGCTACTGTGCTGTATCATAAATCACACCTCTCTGACTTGCCATCTGTCAGCCAGATTACACATGTTCAGAGTCCCATGTCAGCGTTTAAGTCCGAACACAGCATCTTTTTCCCAGAAATAATTATCAGCCCTGGAGATTCCTGCAGCAGCACAACCGAGCTGTGGCTCGTCCCTTCCCTTAGAATATTGCAGTGGAGAAGGCTGGCAGTGAAGGCAACGGGATGTGGGGGGAGGAGAGGGTGGGGGAGAAATGCAGCTACCCCCCTCCCCATGAAATCACAGCTTGGTGCACGTGAGGGCCATGCACGGTCAGCACCTCTCTGCAGCAGCTTCTTGTGCCTGCTCTGTCCCCAGCCTGCAGGGCCTTTGCAGAAAGGCAACGAGGCACTCAGGGCACCTGAACCCACGAGGAGCAGGCAACGCAGGTGGCACCAGCAGCACCCCCTGCCCACAGCCCAGCCCCTCACCAGCACCTTGCATGAGGGCTCGAAGCAGCCATGCAGCAGCGAGGGAGACATCTTAGCCGTGGCAGGAGCAGCTCCCACCTGTTGCACTCGCTGGTCCGAGACACAGCACGTGCTTGGACGTGGCGACCAACTGACCCCGCTCCTGCAAGGCAGCCAGCATCCCCCGGAGCAGGCACGGGCGATGCAAGCGCCAGGGTGGGGCACGAGGTGGCTGCAGGCACTCCGCAGCGCTTTTCGCAGTGCCTCCCCCTGGAACGGTCCCTGCACAACCAGCATCCGAGCTGGGCTCATCCCCCGTGCTGGGGAAGGGGCAGAGGGCAGGAGCCGGCACAGCTCCCGCATCCCTCTCAGCAGAGCAGCTGGGCTCCTGGAAGCGCTTTATTTGCACAGGTGCAGCCAGAATAAAAAAGGAGAAAAAAGAACCACCTCCAGAGCAGGCAGAAGTTTTCAAAGAGGCACCACGCACGGACCCACGGCTGCACACACGCAGCCCCCGGCGAGCATCAAACACGAGCACCGAACAAACAGACCCCATCCCGCCGTCAGCCCCGCACTCCCTGGGCACGACGGGGCGCGTCCCCAGAGCAGCAGCCACGGATAGGAGCGGTGGGCCGCGCACGGTGCCGCGCCGGGAGGGATGCGATGCCCGCGGGATGCGCACTCACCTGCACCGCTCCTCCGCCTTCCCCTCGCGCTCTGCCAGCAGCCAGCAGCGCTCAGCCGCGCACAGCTCCCCGGCAGCATCCCCATGCCCATGCCCATCCCCTCTCCGCACACAGCCGCACGCACGCTCCCATCCCGGCCGGGAGCGCAGCCCCGCTGCCCCGCTCCCAGCTGCCACCTCCGCCTCCCTCACCCATCACCTCAGGATCCTGCTGGCTCTGCGCTCTTTTTTTTTTTTTTTTCTTTTCTCTCTGTCTTTCTTTCTTTCTTTTTTTCCCTTTCTTTCGTTCTTTCTTTCTTTCTTTTTCTTTCTTTCTTTTTTTTTTCTTTTTTTTTTTTTTTCTCAATCTTGTTTCTATAGAAACGAGATTAGCAGAGGGGGAAATAAAACAGCCCCATGTGACTCAGATTCCGACACTGAAGAATCTCCTGGTCGCGCCTGTCGGTGCTTTACATAACAGGGAGCCTGCGCGGCTGGGCATGGGGACTGGGCATGGGGAGGGGGCCCAGGGCTAACCACACACACTGCAATGCCACGACGTGCCCTGAGCCCGCTCGTGCCCCCAGAGGCCCTGTTCCCTGCATGCCCTGCTTTGCCACCCTCTTCCATCAGCAGCAGAAGGGGCAACGGCGCTGAGAGCGGCCCCAGCTCTCACCAAACCCCACGCACAGTTTGGGGCAGGTGACCCAAGAGCCCCTCACACTGCTGGGCTGTTCTGGTGGCTCAGGGAATGGCTTTGGTCAGCAGTCCCCAATGGTGGTGGCCTCACAGGTGACAAATGCCCACAGGACCTCCTGAGCCCCCAGTGCTGCACACATGCTGCAGGCGGGCAGCTGGGTGGGATGCTCAGAGCCTCAGGGATAGATGCTCACTGCTCCACAGCTCCTTCCAGCCCCACATCTCTCCTGGTCCCCCCCATGCCCCCCGTGGCGGTGCTGATTCAGCCATGATTAACATGATTAGTGTGATTAATGCGATTAGTATGAGGCCTGATGGCACCGCAGCCCCGGGGCCACCTGTGGGCAGCTCACCCCCAGGCACATGGGGAGGGGCAGCCAGACCATGGATGGATGAGGCCCCGTGTGAGATCCTCTGTTTAATGGATGATAATGGGGCTGCAAAAAGTTCCTCCAGCAGCACAGCTTTGATACTTGCAGCTAATTATAGCTGGCATTATTGGGATGTATGACAAGTAGCGAGTCGGGGGATGCTGTCTATTTCTGACCCACAACACCAGGAGGGCGGGCGGCCCCAAGGGTGAGAGGAGAAGGGAAGCGTGGGGAGAAGGACGGAGATACCTTCTGTGTGTGGTCAGATGAGCAGAGCAGCTGCTTCCGAGCGCGGGTTTGAGATGTGAGGTGTTGATAGCGAAGGCTGGGAAGCGGCTTGACACATCCCACAGTGCAGCCCCCCATTGCCTGCTCACTCCCCACCCGGTGTCATGGTCCTTTGGGTGCATCCCGAGGTCCCCTGACCCAGCTGTCCCCCAGGCTGACTCTGCTGGAGCCACGTTAAAGACAAGAAACCCAACGCCCATCCTTTGCCTTTCACAACACCTGTTGTCCTCTATGGGATCCAGCACCCAGCCGGTTGCTGCACAAAAGAAGTGCCAATCCTTGGGACTGGATGGCATTTTTAGAACTTCTCCTCGTTTTCTTTGAGTTTTGTTAAACTTACAGCTTTTGCTGCAAAGGATTTGATGCAAATCCAAGCAGAAGGGACCGCCTCATGAGTCCTAAATTAAAATGTTCCTTTGTTTTGGCTTTCAAACACTGTATTTTAATGCCCATCCACACTCAGAATGGAAGGTAAATTTGCATGTCGTTCCCCTATGAATCCTTTGCCAAAGCAGTGATTTTGTTCATTTGTATTCCCCGGCGACAGCAGCTCTGCCCTCGGAGCAGCAGCTGCCTGCCTGCAGAGCAGCAGGGATGGGCACGTTGGGGATGCTGAGTACAGAGAGACCCAAGCCCAACGTGTTGGCGAGGCAGGGCTGTCTTCAGCTGGCCTTGCACCGCCTGGGTCTTCCTTACAGGCTGTTGGCTTGGCCTGGGGCCTCCCAGTCCCACTGAGACCCTTCTTTGTGATGTGAAGCAGCTAAATGAAAATGGGAGCAGAGATCTGATCCTGTCGTGTAACAGACCGCTGGCAGCACCATCTC